TTTTAGACAACATACCAGAAACATTACATACCTCACAAGAAGAGACTCATCAGTAGGTGCAGTCCACAACTCGAATAGGCTTTTCCCAGAGCCAAGTGAACAAAGGTGAACAAGTCTCTCCCGTCGTGACAACGTCATCTTGTCACCCGTCTTACCAAGCTGCCCTGGCGAAGTGCTGCTGGCATGTTTCAAACCACCTTCAAACTCGTTACCCAGGTCTGGACAAGTCAAACAGATCCACATTGCTAAACTAAACCCCCTCTCAGAACGGGGCAGACTGCCATGAAATGGTAACTGAATAGCCCATACCAGAAACGGCGATGGCAAATTCATCCTTCCTTCATAATGTTCTATCTCGCTTAGTTCATATTCAGCAGAATTGCAAGCTGCAAAGTTGGAACTCCCACTTTGCCTACGTGTGGTCCGTTTTGTACTACCCCGGCGCTGTACTCCTACCATTGAGGATTTCGATTTCCTGTGAATACTCTTCGGTTGCCTGTTTGGGCTCTCGGAGATCGCTAATCTACTGGTGCTTGGTGAGCTACCACTTTGCATGCTGTCCTCATCAGTAGACACATTGCCATCACTTCCTTGTGGAGAGTGCGACTTGCTGGGTTAGGAAAAGTGTAAAAGCATTTCACAAACAATTGACACTAATTAAAAAGTATCTTTACGAGGCTTGTGCATCCAAATTAAGTAATATGGACATGTACGTCACATGTAGTAATAGCTAGAATAATGCTAGTAGTACAGCGGGGTACGAATAAGCCCATTTTCACAAACACTTATCACTAAATAACACGATTCTCGTGAGGCATGTGCATTTGTGTAACAAAATTATATGAAGAAAATATGAACATTTATGGAGAAACAGAGACAATGGATACAGTATATGAAAGAGTCGCGAGGCTGCTTAACTGAACTCATTTTAGTAGTATAGTGTTGTTAAATTAGACCGTGGTTTAAGACAGTAAATGCTATCGGGTGTCAGATTTCTTTTGTCACGAATTCTTTATAATAAGAGTATGGCAATAGACTGTTCCTTTATTAATTGATTGATGTTTCACACAAACAACATAGCCAAGCCACATCCGTTTAGCCAAACAGATCTATAGAGAATGCAAAATAAAATGGAAAAGCGAGTTAGAGCAAGTCTGCAGAGACTAGCGAGTATCTGACCTGCCGGTAGCAATTAACAATTTTTTGAGCTCCGAAAAAACTCAAGTCTTTCATAAACATGTCTCCCACCAATTAGAGATTTTCTATGATATCTTTGCATTATGTACATAAACTGTAGCCTTGAGCAAATACATCAGCGGGTAAAATGATCCACGATCTTTCAACATATCAACTTACATTTTAATAGATCTTTTTCCCTTTATTTGTTTCCATTTTCCACTGGCCACTTTACTACTTGTAATTGCAGTAGCCCTTCTTTCCACTCCCTTAGCACAGCAGGGAAATGACATCACGAATGCTGGACCACAATTGGTGCTAGCTTTAGCAGCGACTTCAGATAACGCAGCGGACAGTAAGTGCTGAACATTAAGAGAAAAGAAAAAAAAAGAACAACAACAAATTAAAAGTGAAATTCATAGTGTGATCGTCCGGGTGAGGATAGTTCTGAAGAGAACTGTTGTTGGTGACTGGCGTGTTGACAACCTGAGCGGAAGTCATCTTTAGAGTCAAGTGAATAGTGTTAGTCAGTTGAAGATGCTATGAGTCTGGTCCGTTGAAAGTGATTGGTCAGTTTAGCCATGATGGCATTGGCTGACAGACTCGTGTAAAGTTTGTCAGCAGTCATGGGTCCGTTCGAGCAAGCTTCGATCCATCTACCCTCAACCGGACGATCACAATATACGAACTACTGATACTTCTGGGTTCATTCATCCATTCATTCATTCAAACCATTTACTAAACAGCAAATTCCTTGACTGTATTCATGTAGAGTGGGGTCTATAGGGTCACACATTTGCATCAATTCCCACATAAAACTATTGCATAACTTCTTAGAATCCTGCCGTAATTAACAAGTCATGGTTTTTAGAGAGCTGCGATTTGCTACAAAAAAAAAAGAACGTTTAGGCAAGGAAAAAGTAAGTTTACGTTCAATATGATGAGTTTATTACTGAAAGACGGCATTGCTGATCTCCTGAATTGAGGATTTATTTTTCTTTACTCTTGTTTTGATGTTGTTGTAGTTGTCTTACCACAGGAGGTTCTGGAGAATTGAACAGTGTAAGGAACTTCCACAGTTCTGCTGCACTGATACTGTTACTTGCAAGGCACACAAACACCTCAACAACAAGAGACTGCAGACCTATATTAAAAAATATCCACTGCAGTTAAATAACGTTAATTTAACAGTTTTGAACTAGCTTCAATTGATTTCTGATAGACAGAGGCAAGACGTATTAATCTCATCTTTACCCAAAAATCCCTTCTTAAACTAGGACAAAATAAGATATGTGTACACATACATCTACAGTGTGTAAGGCTCAAATAAAAAGGTATTCAGTGAGAAAACTGTACTTCCTTATTTGTTTGTTTGTTTGTTTTTTTTGTACTTTTAGTAATGACGAAAGGAAAGTCTTGCCTTTCAATGCTTGATCGTGCATTGTCATAGCATCATGAAAGCACTCCAGCAGGATCTCAATGAGCCCCTGTTCACAACAAAGAGAACAAAATAATCATTAAATAGCATGATTTCCGAGACGAATGCATTGAAACTTCGTGTCAAAATAATGATCAGGAGGAAATTTTAATCTATACAGCGCAGACAATTGTCCTATCTTCCAGGCCATAAATCATGTAACTTACATGCTGGCAGAGTCTGTTACAATTCTCTTCACAATCTCGTAGCAAGAAAAGTAGATTCTCTACAGCATGGAGCACGACAACGAGACTAGAAAAGTAAAAGAAAAAGATGTTTAAAAGAATGCTCTGGTGTCTACGCTAATAACTGTCAAGTAATAAATTAAGACAAATTGATTCATTAGTCGATTGGAGAGGCGAATCTTGCAACACGTTTGTACCGTAGGTAATTATGGTGGGTGTGGCTGTGAAAAGGGGGCAATGGTGACAGCATCAATCTCAACCACCATCGCTTTGGAGAGCATCACGAGCATCACGATTATCATCAGCAGCACCACCTTCACTTTCACCTTCACAATCAACATCGTCATCATTATCATCATCATCACCATCAATACCATCATCATTGCTGTCATCACCATCAATAACACCCTATCATCGTCATTATCATTATCAGCTTCATCACCACTAACATGGTATTGAATAATAGCTTTATTTCAGGACATTAAGACACCTCGAGGGTGCTTGCATGTAAAACGTAATTGCATACCATTCTGGATCCCCAGCACAAAGTCTGCTGCCATAGCACACTTTCAACAACTGCAGTAGGATAGTGGGAATCTGTGGGTAAATAACGAGGCCCTTTCTGATCTGCAGTTGCTTTGAGTATTCGTTTTGTCTTCTCTGTTTAGGCTGCTTCTTGTTTTTAATAAGTTTCGGTTCTGTTTCATCACTCCTATCCGAGTCTCCTTCTTCTTGATCTGCATCATAACCCTCTTCCAGCATCAAATTGCCGCCCTTTTCGTTGCCGTTTGACTCCTCGTCGTCATCATCATCTTCCAAAGGATGTGACCACTCCTACGATTAGGACAACATGATTCAAAATCACGATACATGAATTTATTTTCGTAAATTAAAGCAAAAGTACACACAGTATAGTCTTTAGGTGTTACGTAAAACTACTAAACAATCAACAGCGTAAAATATTACTCTTCAAAACTCAACTTAATGCTGTTCCCTTTATCTTACATTGTAGCTACAAAACATTTACGACAAAAGGGATGTAGGATTGAGCGAGCGAATCCTCACCACTATTACCTGCCATATTTTAAAGTTCTTTCTAGATTCAGTTAGTAATGAGCGACGTCCGACAACACAAACCGTACGAAACAATACTACATTGTATGTGCACGTCTTTTGACAAACCAAAGGCACACAAGAATACCCACACGTGGCTGCGCTTTCTTGGCAGGCAATGAAAAAATGAAACAAGAAGCCTTAGTGCATGCAAATTTAACTGTCAGTTTAGATAAATAACTGACATCTGAAGCGGTAGCCCTTCAACGGGGCAAATTGATAGCACGCTAATTTGACTCGCTTCATCAATTGCTTTCACTGCAGTAAACACACACAAATCTAGCCTATGAACAGAATCATGCAATTTACAGGTGTGAATCTACATGGCTTTTTTGCTGCAACAACAAGGGAAAAAGGAAAGTTAAAATATACATGCATAGATGAACAAACGTCATGATCTACAGGTGTCAAACTCCATTTAGCAAACCTCTTGACTGTCACCATTGCTTCCTCTCCTTAAGACTGCATCCCTTTGTTGTTTCATCTCAAAGTTCAGTTGAGCAGAATTTACAATCCCATCCAGTTGCCACATTGACGCTTTGAGAAAACAATCACTTATTCCTTTGCTGAGGAATTTCTGCAAAATCCCAGATTCCGAAAACGTTTTCTTTGCTTCTTCTACCAGCTGCTCAAGACTTGGAAGTTTCTGCGGAACACAGCAGGTTCCAGTTATACCACGGTCAGTCAATGTATAATTACTTACACCATGTTATGGAAAATACAGTCGGTCACAATACAGGAAAGCCAGTGTGTATTTTACGATAACTGCAGAAATTCTCGCGCGCTCATTGGCTAATTTTCTTCGCCAAGACACATGATTTTATAATTTATGCGATGTAGCAACGAGTGAAAGCGGACAATTTGACAGTTTGTTATCGTAAAAAACAAATTGACGTCAGTTTTTCATGCGTCTGTCCTGTTATTGACAATGAATTTCGTCATAACATTGTCAAAGTAGTCTGCGGATCCACTCGTGGATCTGTCATAACATTGTCAATAACAGGACAGACGCATGGAAAACTGACAATAATTTGTTAACTCGACGTTAATACACCCAGCCGTTCCATCGTGCACTGCGCGTATGCCGCGTTGAGTGAGTATGGCCACTGCATTTTCATTGACAACGTATATAAACAAGTGCACATGTATATACGACCAAGAAAATAATAAGTGACAATTTAGATATTCTACGGTATACCACGAGAAAGCTTTGCATAACTAACCACTAGAAAATACGAACAAAATGTTACTTAGATGCATGTCTTGAAAAGGGTTATTCTTTAATTCTCTCTTGACCACTACCTTGCAGTACCTGCACTTGTAAGTTACAACTTGCTGAATACCATACATGTATATGTTCTAACATGCTTCCTTCAACATAATTAGTCAAGCCGAGGGACGTACTTGCTAAGTAAACCAACATGTTAGACTATCTTACCTCTTTATTTTGCCAATATTCCATGTGCGCCATTCTCATACAGACTGGTAAAACAGACTCAAACAAACCCACAAGATCCTTCAAAAACGGAATATCCTCATTCTCGGCAGTAACAACAGGTGAAACATGACCCTGAAATACCTCGAACAAACAATGCAGCAAATGATAGCTGTACACAATTCCGTCATCCTGGAGAAACAGTTCACAGAACAACTCATTTGAAACCAACAGCTGAAGACATGACCTCCAAACATTCACCCTCAGTGATGATTCAGCGGGGTGGCATGAAACCACCTGAGAGACTTGTGGTGTTTTGTCCTCCCCTTCATTTGCTGTCTCTACAAAGAATGTCGTGTACTGAAGCAAAGACAGAAAGCTTTTGCAACAGACTTTGCTATCACTTTTCTCTTCACTGCTTGTCTCTGGCGACCCTGTGTTGAGGTATCCTCCCTCTGCCTGGAGTAGCCTTCTTGATGCCTCCTGATTTTCCATGTTGGCAAGGAACTCAAGCACATTAAGAACTGGCTCTTGAAGCTGTGGTAGTGCTAGAAAACACTGCAGCTCATTCAAGCCACCACAGTTAAGAAACAGTTCTCGTGAGTCCAAGCAGGTAAGAAGTGAGGGCAACAACAAGATGCAATGCTCAAGAACGTCTCTACACACCCCATCTTCTGTATGAAGTTGTTCAGAAAGGAGAGGATTGCTAGCATCTCTCGGAAAGCCAGAAAACGTATTTCCTATGAACGACGTAACTCTCTTCTCCTGCCACTCTGAACTGAATGATCCAGACCAACTGCGTGCTCTGATTTTTCTAAGTGGCTCAGCAACATCTTCAGTGAAAACTCCCTCACAGCGTAACATGCAAGGAAGAATTACCATACGGAACAGTTCGCCTTTTAGATGCTTTGATCCTAAAGTAGCCAAGGGTTTGAGTGCCTTTACAACCTCTACAGCCACGTGTGTGTCCTTATAACACACAAGGGCACAGTACTGCGAAAGGCACGTCCAGAGTGGTTTTCCATCTTTGTTGAGATCTCTAACATGCCCTCTAAGTGCGGTGGCACTGAAATCACTAGCTGAGAAACCACTGTCACTTCGCCCAGGACTTTGTTTTGATGACTTGGTGCGAAATCTCTGCACTCTTTTAGAATGAAAAGTTTGAGACTGCAATACATCAGCATCGTCCTCTACACGATCAATTTCAGTGAGCACCAGTTGGTTGATAAGGCTTAGAGTAACACCTTGAAGGTCTTTTGATTGGTCAACAAACCTGAAAGTGAAACAAAATGGAACGAAATTATTGTCAGTGATATTCGTTTGCGACAAGTCACAAGGATCGATTCAAATGTACGAGCATTCCCAAAGACATTAATATGAGAGCATCAACATGTATTGCAAATCCAAGTATATTAACAAAAGTAAGTTTCGAGCGTACAATGTATGTACAATTAGCAGACTTAATGTAAAGACTCTTCTATTGGTCAAGGAGCGGACTGGAACACGTGCAGAGGAGGCTCATGTAAAGGTACATGCGATTGATGTAACTCTTAACAGAACAACAAACACATAACTCCTGAAATAATTCTTACTTGTTTAAAAGAGTGGTCACTAGAACGTCAGGTGAGACACAACGACAAATTCCAACTTTTTCAAGACAGGTGAGTATGCTCATCCTCAACTTTGGATTTTTGATCTCCTTGACAACAGTCAGTAGTGTAATGGCAGGTCTGGACACTGTACAAAGGTCTTCTAAGTTTAAAAAAATATATATAACAATGAATTAATTAATTATTATAGAAAAGACATTTGATATGAACAAGACATACATGTACACGATTATGTAAGAAGTTTATGTCCCAAGGTTAAAAGGCTGTTCTCTTGCTGGGCAAGTGCTAGAGAGAGGGCAAAGCTGCAATGGACTTAAATCACCTGCAGGGCAAAGCAAATAACAAACTATTCCTACATGCAGGCACTTTTTACATGACTTTCCGGAGCTTGAACAAAACTTGAATTTGCAACTTCCCTTTGGACAAGCAGCTCTCAAATCTTGTTTGCCCTGACTTACTCTTTTATTTTTACTTAAACTGGCAGACAACTTGTTTGGGCCCGTGCCCATCACGCAAGTGAGGATGAATAGTTACTTGTCCAGCAGGAAAATCTACTTGTTCCAGATAACTGGACAGCGCTCGTTTCGAGCCCTGCTTCTTTGTTGATGAGGAAAACCAAGAATACGACAAGTTTTCCATCCATTAGGCTATTTTCCAGCAATAATTGTCCAGAGCTAATAATAGCCATAAACGTGTGTGCACACAATTTATGGAGGTGTGCTTTTTTTAAATTCCATTTCACTACATGCACTAACCTGGAAACTGGTCTTGCTTTGCTTTTTCAAACTCCATATCGGCAGCAGATTCTGAGCTTTCCTCCACCTCAGAACTCTGGGGGTAGACCATACCCATTTCAAAGTCATCCTCTAGAGCCACAGGCCACCCAGATGCCACCACAGAACTTTTTCTAGGAACGACATCTCTAGAACTTTTGCAACAACTCTTGCCTTTCTTTAACATGGAGATCATCCTGCCCAAGTTCCTCACCATCCGATTTGTTAGATTCCTTGGGTATTGTTCTATTCTCCGTGCAGATGAAGATAATGATGTCAACTTCCAATCAAGCTGGCCATCTTTGTTCTCAGAACTCACCTCTTGTGAATAAACTTCATCCAGTTTTAGAAGCAATATGGCGACAAATTCAAAACCCCCGTTAGATGAGAACTGCTCAAAAATCTCATGGCACAGTACAAATACAGTTGAGTTGATCAAGGTGCCATAGTGGATGCAAGTCATCACAAAGAGTAAGAGACCTTGTAAGAAGCAACCTACGAGCAACTCCTGCTGAAATGTTCTCCACAAATCCGAACAAGACAACTTTGACTCCAGATCTCTTCCATGATCACCAGCTTCAGTGACAACCTTAGCAAGTTCAATGTGCTGTAGAGTTGTTAAGAACTCTTTGTCAAGGCAACCCCCAGAGATCACCTCCAAGAGCTTCTGGACATATGACGTCTTTGACAGCTGTTTGGCAGCCTTTGGATTTCTACATGCCGTGTAGAGAATTGCAAAAACTGTCCTTAATATTACAAGCTGAATTGCAGTAGCTGCAGCAGGATCCCACTCACAAAGAACTTCGCCACTGTGATCTTTAGCATCACTAAGGGTATACAGAATGTCTATGAGNACCAAGCCTTCTCATCGTGCACTGCGCGTATGCCGCGTTGATTGAGTATGGCCACTATATTTTCTATGACGAGGTATAAAAGCGAGTGCACATGTATATACGACCAAGAAAATAATAAGTGACAATTGGGATATTCTACGGTATACCACGAAAGCTTTGCATAGCTAGTAGATAGGTACAAAATGTTACTCAAAAGTCTTGACAAGTGTTATTCTTTAATTCTATTTTGACCACCATCTTACAGTACCCACACTTGTAGGTAACACGTTACATGTACATGTTCTAACATAAATGCTTCCCTCGACATACTTAGTCAAGCCGAAGCCGGAAGGGCGTACTTGCTAAGTAAACCAACATGTTAGACTATCTTACCTCTTTGTTTTGCCAATATTCCATGTGCGCCATTCTCATACAGACTGGTAAAACAGACTCAAACAAACCCACAAGATCCTTCAAAAACGGAATATCCTCATTCTCGGCAGTAACAACAGGTGAAACATGACCCTGAAATACCTCGAACAAACAATGCAGCAAATGATAGCTGTACACAATTCCGTCATCCTGGAGAAACAGTTCACAGAACAACTCATTTGAAACCAACAGCTGAAGACATGACCTCCAAACATTCACCCTCAGTGATGATTCAGCGGGGTGGCATGAAACCACCTGAGAGACTTGTGGTGTTTTGTCCTCCCCTTCATTTGCTGTCTCTACAAAGAATGTCGTGTACTGAAGCAAAGACAGAAAGCTTTTGCAACAGACTTTGCTATCACTTTTCTCTTCACTGCTTGTCTCTGGCGACCCTGTGTTGAGGTATCCTCCCTCTGCCTGGAGTAGCCTTCTTGATGCCTCCTGATTTTCCATGTTGGCAAGGAACTCAAGCACATTAAGAACTGGCTCTTGAAGCTGTGGTAGTGCTAGAAAACACTGCAGCTCATTCAAGCCACCACAGTTAAGAAACAGTTCTCGTGAGTCCAAGCAGGTAAGAAGTGAGGGCAACAACAAGATGCAATGCTCAAGAACGTCTCTACACACCCCATCTTCTGTATGAAGTTGTTCAGAAAGGAGAGGATTGCTAGCATCTCTCGGAAAGCCAGAAAACGTATTTCCTATGAACGACGTAACTCTCTTCTCCTGCCACTCTGAACTGAATGATCCAGACCAACTGCGTGCTCTGATTTTTCTAAGTGGCTCAGCAACATCTTCAGTGAAAACTCCCTCACAGCGTAACATGCAAGGAAGAATTACCATACGGAACAGTTCGCCTTTTAGATGCTTTGATCCTAAAGTAGCCAAGGGTTTGAGTGCCTTTACAACCTCTACAGCCACGTGTGTGTCCTTATAACACACAAGGGCACAGTACTGCGAAAGGCACGTCCAGAGTGGTTTTCCATCTTTGTTGAGATCTCTAACATGCCCTCTAAGTGCGGTGGCACTGAAATCACTAGCTGAGAAACCACTGTCACTTCGCCCAGGACTTTGTTTTGATGACTTGGTGCGAAATCTCTGCACTCTTTTAGAATGAAAAGTTTGAGACTGCAATACATCAGCATCGTCCTCTACACGATCAATTTCAGTGAGCACCAGTTGGTTGATAAGGCTTAGAGTAACACCTTGAAGGTCTTTTGATTGGTCAACAAACCTGAAAGTGAAACAAAATGGAACGAAATTATTGTCAGTGATATTCGTTTGCGACAAGTCACAAGGATCGATTCAAATGTACGAGCATTCCCAAAGACATTAATATGAGAGCATCAACATGTATTGCAAATCCAAGTATATTAACAAAAGTAAGTTTCGAGCGTACAATGTATGTACAATTAGCAGACTTAATGTAAAGACTCTTCTATTGGTCAAGGAGCGGACTGGAACACGTGCAGAGGAGGCTCATGTAAAGGTACATGCGATTGATGTAACTCTTAACAGAACAACAAACACATAACTCCTGAAATAATTCTTACTTGTTTAAAAGAGTGGTCACTAGAACGTCAGGTGAGACACAACGACAAATTCCAACTTTTTCAAGACAGGTGAGTATGCTCATCCTCAACTTTGGATTTTTGATCTCCTTGACAACAGTCAGTAGTGTAATGGCAGGTCTGGACACTGTACAAAGGTCTTCTAAGTTTAAAAAAATATATATAACAATGAATTAATTAATTATTATAGAAAAGACATTTGATATGAACAAGACATACATGTACACGATTATGTAAGAAGTTTATGTCCCAAGGTTAAAAGGCTGTTCTCTTGCTGGGCAAGTGCTAGAGAGAGGGCAAAGCTGCAATGGACTTAAATCACCTGCAGGGCAAAGCAAATAACAAACTATTCCTACATGCAGGCACTTTTTACATGACTTTCCGGAGCTTGAACAAAACTTGAATTTGCAACTTCCCTTTGGACAAGCAGCTCTCAAATCTTGTTTGCCCTGACTTACTCTTTTATTTTTACTTAAACTGGCAGACAACTTGTTTGGGCCCGTGCCCATCACGCAAGTGAGGATGAATAGTTACTTGTCCAGCAGGAAAATCTACTTGTTCCAGATAACTGGACAGCGCTCGTTTCGAGCCCTGCTTCTTTGTTGATGAGGAAAACCAAGAATACGACAAGTTTTCCATCCATTAGGCTATTTTCCAGCAATAATTGTCCAGAGCTAATAATAGCCATAAACGTGTGTGCACACAATTTATGGAGGTGTGCTTTTTTTAAATTCCATTTCACTACATGCACTAACCTGGAAACTGGTCTTGCTTTGCTTTTTCAAACTCCATATCGGCAGCAGATTCTGAGCTTTCCTCCACCTCAGAACTCTGGGGGTAGACCATACCCATTTCAAAGTCATCCTCTAGAGCCACAGGCCACCCAGATGCCACCACAGAACTTTTTCTAGGAACGACATCTCTAGAACTTTTGCAACAACTCTTGCCTTTCTTTAACATGGAGATCATCCTGCCCAAGTTCCTCACCATCCGATTTGTTAGATTCCTTGGGTATTGTTCTATTCTCCGTGCAGATGAAGATAATGATGTCAACTTCCAATCAAGCTGGCCATCTTTGTTCTCAGAACTCACCTCTTGTGAATAAACTTCATCCAGTTTTAGAAGCAATATGGCGACAAATTCAAAACCCCCGTTAGATGAGAACTGCTCAAAAATCTCATGGCACAGTACAAATACAGTTGAGTTGATCAAGGTGCCATAGTGGATGCAAGTCATCACAAAGAGTAAGAGACCTTGTAAGAAGCAACCTACGAGCAACTCCTGCTGAAATGTTCTCCACAAATCCGAACAAGACAACTTTGACTCCAGATCTCTTCCATGATCACCAGCTTCAGTGACAACCTTAGCAAGTTCAATGTGCTGTAGAGTTGTTAAGAACTCTTTGTCAAGGCAACCCCCAGAGATCACCTCCAAGAGCTTCTGGACATATGACGTCTTTGACAGCTGTTTGGCAGCCTTTGGATTTCTACATGCCGTGTAGAGAATTGCAAAAACTGTCCTTAATATTACAAGCTGAATTGCAGTAGCTGCAGCAGGATCCCACTCACAAAGAACTTCGCCACTGTGATCTTTAGCATCACTAAGGGTATACAGAATGTCTATGAGCTGACCACTCGTATGCATTAGCAGGTCGGAATCTTGAAGGGACGAACTGCTTTGACATGCCAGGTTCTCCAATGTTGAGAGAAGAAGAAGTGCCAGTTGAAAGTTATTGATGCTACAATCATTTCTAGTAACATTTTCAGCAGCCAAATTAGAATGTACAGTGTTGTCGTCTTTTCCTTCAATAACATGCTTTAGGGGACCACTACAAGGAGGCTTGGTTCCATTTGTCTGTGTACTGCTAATTTCTGCATCAGAACACTCGCTAACATTAGTACTTAACATGCCGTCAATGTCTGTCACACTTGTGAGGCTTGTGTATGCGTCACTTTCTTCTGTAGTGATGGGACTTTCAGATTTGTCCTTGACTGAAAATGGGAAGTTGAGAGGGTGGTCATCTCTGTCGATCTCATCTTCAGCTGATTTCAGGGGTTCGCTATCAATTTCATGACCTTGCTTTTGAAGATGACTAGAATTCAGGTTCGAGTCAACAGGATCCTGAGAGGACAAAAGAATCATGTCTTTGACAATGCTATTGTGGCGAGAGATGCTCTTCGAGTCCCACCAAAGTTCATCAAAATCAGCAAAGATCAAATCCAATCCTAAAAGAATGGGAGAAAGCACAGAATCTTAGCAAGTGCAAATCAGTCATGATGGATGACTTTTAATTTGAACAACAGTACATGTCCTGCATCACTTAAAATCAAAATTCTCTAAGTGTCATGTACATGCAATGTAACTTACATATAGTTTCAAAGACCTGTCTATTTTGGCTGGGCATACATTATAAATTTGGCCCCACGAGAAACTTGCAGAAACTCAACTTGTGGCCAAACTGATACAGTGTACAGGTATTTGTACAGCCATGTACTTGAACATGTACTTGAGGTAATTAGAACACTTAGCAATGCATTGATGGACAGTCTCAAAGCACATGTTCTCTCCATGAAGAGAAATATTGAAGAGTCTATATTAAGAGCATTTAACAAAACAAGGATCTTTAGGACTTTGGATTTTGACATGTTTCAAAGCAAACATGATCTGTAAACAAGATCTTCATGGCAAACAGCTGACTTGAGTAATTTTTTCAATTGCTGTTTGAACATGACGTCCATTACCATACAACTGTATGTAAAATCAGTCGGACAATTTCAAACTGGTTGCATAGTGGCCACGACCAACTGTGGTTGCTTTAAGCACTGCCATTATGATTGTCAAACAAACTACATAATTTTCATTTTGAAACAAACAGAAAAGTTTTGACCATACCAAAAAGAGGATCATAATCTTGTAACGGCACCTTGAGAACCACAGGTAGCAGAGAAACTAGTAGATTAGAAAGCTCTAATCTACTTCCAGCAACCTGGCAAAGAAAAGTTCTAAATGTTAATTAAAGTCAAACATATTTTATATTAAATACAATGAAATTACAATTATTAATAATTATTACTTTACTTGATGTAGAACTGATGAGAAAAAAATTAAAGATGCAACATACAATCATATACTAATATAATTGTAAATGTAAAATTAATGTTTGCTTGTTAATAATATTTTTATTTTCCCCATGACACAGAGTTCTGAGGTGCTCATGATGCTCTGATTAATAAAAGTGTTCATGAACACATATCAAGATTAATTATTACATGTAGAATTAATAAATTTTTTAGGAGTCTGTGCTGGTTTTTGTAGTAGGAGTCAAACCACAGAACTTGGAGAAAAACCCTCAAGCAATGATGAGGATCAACAACAAACCTATATCTATAAGATGTTAGGTCCAGGATTTGATTTGAGGCAGCAGCTCACTGCCACTTCCCAAGGACCTAATGTACCTCTCAACAAGCCCTCTCAAACCCATTAAGTAATGCTCCAATTTTTCATGTAGCACGCATAAAATAATGGAGAAGTGTGGTTCAGCCCTTGATNTATTCCATGTGCGCCATTCTCATACAGACTGGTAAAACAGACTCAAACAAACCCACAAGATCCTTCAAAAACGGAATATCCTCATTCTCGGCAGTAACAACAGGTGAAACATGACCCTGAAATACCTCGAACAAACAATGCAGCAAATGATAGCTGTACACAATTCCGTCATCCTGGAGAAACAGTTCACAGAACAACTCATTTGAAACCAACAGCTGAAGACATGACCTCCAAACATTCACCCTCAGTGATGATTCAGCGGGGTGGCATGAAACCACCTGAGAGACTTGTGGTGTTTTGTCCTCCCCTTCATTTGCTGTCTCTACAAAGAATGTCGTGTACTGAAGCAAAGACAGAAAGCTTTTGCAACAGACTTTGCTATCACTTTTCTCTTCACTGCTTGTCTCTGGCGACCCTGTGTTGAGGTATCCTCCCTCTGCCTGGAGTAGCCTTCTTGATGCCTCCTGATTTTCCATGTTGGCAAGGAACTCAAGCACATTAAGAACTGGCTCTTGAAGCTGTGGTAGTGCTAGAAAACACTGCAGCTCATTCAAGCCACCACAGTTAAGAAACAGTTCTCGTGAGTCCAAGCAGGTAAGAAGTGAGGGCAACAACAAGATGCAATGCTCAAGAACGTCTCTACACACCCCATCTTCTGTATGAAGTTGTTCAGAAAGGAGAGGATTGCTAGCATCTCTCGGAAAGCCAGAAAACGTATTTCCTATGAACGACGTAACTCTCTTCTCCTGCCACTCTGAACTGAATGATCCAGACCAACTGCGTGCTCTGATTTTTCTAAGTGGCTCAGCAACATCTTCAGTGAAAACTCCCTCACAGCGTAACATGCAAGGAAGAATTACCATACGGAACAGTTCGCCTTTTAGATGCTTTGATCCTAAAGTAGCCAAGGGTTTGAGTGCCTTTACAACCTCTACAGCCACGTGTGTGTCCTTATAACACACAAGGGCACAGTACTGCGAAAGGCACGTCCAGAGTGGTTTTCCATCTTTGTTGAGATCTCTAACATGCCCTCTAAGTGCGGTGGCACTGAAATCACTAGCTGAGAAACCACTGTCACTTCGCCCAGGACTTTGTTTTGATGACTTGGTGCGAAATCTCTGCACTCTTTTAGAATGAAAAGTTTGAGACTGCAATACATCAGCATCGTCCTCTACACGATCAATTTCAGTGAGCACCAGTTGGTTGATAAGGCTTAGAGTAACACCTTGAAGGTCTTTTGATTGGTCAACAAACCTGAAAGTGAAACAAAATGGAACGAAATTATTGTCAGTGATATTCGTTTGCGACAAGTCACAAGGATCGATTCAAATGTACGAGCATTCCCAAAGACATTAATATGAGAGCATCAACATGTATTGCAAATCCAAGTATATTAACAAAAGTAAGTTTCGAGCGTACAATGTATGTACAATTAGCAGACTTAATGTAAAGACTCTTCTATTGGTCAAGGAGCGGACTGGAACACGTGCAGAGGAGGCTCATGTAAAGGTACATGCGATTGATGTAACTCTTAACAGAACAACAAACACATAACTCCTGAAATAATTCTTACTTGTTTAAAAGAGTGGTCACTAGAACGTCAGGTGAGACACAACGACAAATTCCAACTTTTTCAAGACAGGTGAGTATGCTCATCCTCAACTTTGGATTTTTGATCTCCTTGACAACAGTCAGTAGTGTAATGGCAGGTCTGGACACTGTACAAAGGTCTTCTAAGTTTAAAAAAATATATATAACAATGAATTAATTAATTATTATAGAAAAGACATTTGATATGAACAAGACATACATGTACACGATTATGTAAGAAGTTTATGTCCCAAGGTTAAAAGGCTGTTCTCTTGCTGGGCAAGTGCTAGAGAGAGGGCAAAGCTGCAATGGACTTAAATCACCTGCAGGGCAAAGCAAATAACAAACTATTCCTACATGCAGGCACTTTTTACATGACTTTCCGGAGCTTGAACAAAACTTGAATTTGCAACTTCCCTTTGGACAAGCAGCTCTCAAATCTTGTTTGCCCTGACTTACTCTTTTATTTTTACTTAAACTGGCAGACAACTTGTTTGGGCCCGTGCCCATCACGCAAGTGAGGATGAATAGTTACTTGTCCAGCAGGAAAATCTACTTGTTCCAGATAACTGGACAGCGCTCGTTTCGAGCCCTGCTTCTTTGTTGATGAGGAAAACCAAGAATACGACAAGTTTTCCATCCATTAGGCTATTTTCCAGCAATAATTGTCCAGAGCTAATAATAGCCATAAACGTGTGTGCACACAATTTATGGAGGTGTGCTTTTTTTAAATTCCATTTCACTACATGCACTAACCTGGAAACTGGTCTTGCTTTGCTTTTTCAAACTCCATATCGGCAGCAGATTCTGAGCTTTCCTCCACCTCAGAACTCTGGGGGTAGACCATACCCATTTCAAAGTCATCCTCTAGAGCCACAGGCCACCCAGATGCCACCACAGAACTTTTTCTAGGAACGACATCTCTAGAACTTTTGCAACAACTCTTGCCTTTCTTTAACATGGAGATCATCCTGCCCAAGTTCCTCACCATCCGATTTGTTAGATTCCTTGGGTATTGTTCTATTCTCCGTGCAGATGAAGATAATGATGTCAACTTCCAATCAAGCTGGCCATCTTTGTTCTCAGAACTCACCTCTTGTGAATAAACTTCATCCAGTTTTAGAAGCAATATGGCGACAAATTCAAAACCCCCGTTAGATGAGAACTGCTCAAAAATCTCATGGCACAGTACAAATACAGTTGAGTTGATCAAGGTGCCATAGTGGATGCAAGTCATCACAAAGAGTAAGAGACCTTGTAAGAAGCAACCTACGAGCAACTCCTGCTGAAATGTTCTCCACAAATCCGAACAAGACAACTTTGACTCCAGATCTCTTCCATGATCACCAGCTTCAGTGACAACCTTAGCAAGTTCAATGTGCTGTAGAGTTGTTAAGAACTCTTTGTCAAGGCAACCCCCAGAGATCACCTCCAAGAGCTTCTGGACATATGACGTCTTTGACAGCTGTTTGGCAGCCTTTGGATTTCTACATGCCGTGTAGAGAATTGCAAAAACTGTCCTTAATATTACAAGCTGAATTGCAGTAGCTGCAGCAGGATCCCACTCACAAAGAACTTCGCCACTGTGATCTTTAGCATCACTAAGGGTATACAGAATGTCTATGAGCTGACCACTCGTATGCATTAGCAGGTCGGAATCTTGAAGGGACGAACTGCTTTGACATGCCAGGTTCTCCAATGTTGAGAGAAGAAGAAGTGCCAGTTGAAAGTTATTGATGCTACAATCATTTCTAGTAACATTTTCAGCAGCCAAATTAGAATGTACAGTGTTGTCGTCTTTTCCTTCAATAACATGCTTTAGGGGACCACTACAAGGAGGCTTGGTTCCATTTGTCTGTGTACTGCTAATTTCTGCATCAGAACACTCGCTAACATTAGTACTTAACATGCCGTCAATGTCTGTCACACTTGTGAGGCTTGTGTATGCGTCACTTTCTTCTGTAGTGATGGGACTTTCAGATTTGTCCTTGACTGAAAATGGGAAGTTGAGAGGGTGGTCATCTCTGTCGATCTCATCTTCAGCTGATTTCAGGGGTTCGCTATCAATTTCATGACCTTGCTTTTGAAGATGACTAGAATTCAGGTTCGAGTCAACAGGATCCTGAGAGGACAAAAGAATCATGTCTTTGACAATGCTATTGTGGCGAGAGATGCTCTTCGAGTCCCACCAAAGTTCATCAAAATCAGCAAAGATCAAATCCAATCCTAAAAGAATGGGAGAAAGCACAGAATCTTAGCAAGTGCAAATCAGTCATGATGGATGACTTTTAATTTGAACAACAGTACATGTCCTGCATCACTTAAAATCAAAATTCTCTAAGTGTCATGTACATGCAATGTAACTTACATATAGTTTCAAAGACCTGTCTATTTTGGCTGGGCATACATTATAAATTTGGCCCCACGAGAAACTTGCAGAAACTCAACTTGTGGCCAAACTGATACAGTGTACAGGTATTTGTACAGCCATGTACTTGAACATGTACTTGAGGTAATTAGAACACTTAGCAATGCATTGATGGACAGTCTCAAAGCACATGTTCTCTCCATGAAGAGAAATATTGAAGAGTCTATATTAAGAGCATTTAACAAAACAAGGATCTTTAGGACTTTGGATTTTGACATGTTTCAAAGCAAACATGATCTGTAAACAAGATCTTCATGGCAAACAGCTGACTTGAGTAATTTTTTCAATTGCTGTTTGAACATGACGTCCATTACCATACAACTGTATGTAAAATCAGTCGGACAATTTCAAACTGGTTGCATAGTGGCCACGACCAACTGTGGTTGCTTTAAGCACTGCCATTATGATTGTCAAACAAACTACATAATTTTCATTTTGAAACAAACAGAAAAGTTTTGACCATACCAAAAAGAGGATCATAATCTTGTAACGGCACCTTGAGAACCACAGGTAGCAGAGAAACTAGTAGATTAGAAAGCTCTAATCTACTTCCAGCAACCTGGCAAAGAAAAGTTCTAAATGTTAATTAAAGTCAAACATATTTTATATTAAATACAATGAAATTACAATTATTAATAATTATTACTTTACTTGATGTAGAACTGATGAGAAAAAAATTAAAGATGCAACATACAATCATATACTAATATAATTGTAAATGTAAAATTAATGTTTGCTTGTTAATAATATTTTTATTTTCCCCATGACACAGAGTTCTGAGGTGCTCATGATGCTCTGATTAATAAAAGTGTTCATGAACACATATCAAGATTAATTATTACATGTAGAATTAATAAATTTTTTAGGAGTCTGTGCTGGTTTTTGTAGTAGGAGTCAAACCACAGAACTTGGAGAAAAACCCTCAAGCAATGATGAGGATCAACAACAAACCTATATCTATAAGATGTTAGGTCCAGGATTTGATTTGAGGCAGCAGCTCACTGCCACTTCCCAAGGACCTAATGTACCTCTCAACAAGCCCTCTCAAACCCATTAAGTAATGCTCCAATTTTTCATGTAGCACGCATAAAATAATGGAGAAGTGTGGTTCAGCCCTTGATTCTTGAAACTCAAGTCAGTGTTCTTAGTTACTGTAATATCTGTAAATAAGACACTCAAGCTTTGGTGTTCACAACCAGATACAGTTTCTTTGTTTCTTTATTATATTAATTAATAACACAAGTCGCTTACATGTTGCCATGCATCAAGATCAATTCAGTGACACACTCGCCTAACTGCTTGTGTGCCACTTTCTTGTTCTGACCACATTTCAGGAGCGGATATACGATTTTCCGTGGGGTTCGGGGGGAGGGGGGTTGGCTTGTACCCTGGGGTTGTAGAATCAACGAGGCATGCCCCCAAATGCTGCAATTTGAGAATTGGAACTTACAGTAATTGAAAACTGTTACACTAGAAGTACTACCAATGTGACAAAGTAAAAATTACTAACAATGAGGTACCTGTCCAAAGTGTTTGCCTCAAACTATTTCTGCCATAGTAGTCACAATCTTTTTAATTTTTGTTTCTATTTTTGGTGCTCTAATTGGGGTTGCCCTCCAAGTCTAACACCTCCCATAAATCCACCCCAGGCCTGTATTTTGACGCCATCTGTGATCTATTACTGAACAGAAGCACAGCAACATGGAATCAATTTGATAAATACATAACAGGGTTGTCAACAAGGGCTGTAACCCGTAACACCTGTTACAGCTGAGTATGTTTGATGGACCCTTGATGTTGCGGGATAACTGGCCTGTAGTTGATACAATTCACCCATAAAGTAACAAGTTTGCTACGGGTGTGAAGATCAAGGCTACAGGTGAATGAAAACTTAATGACAGCCCTGCATTATAAAAAGATAATATAATATACACGTATACGGTACATGTAAACCAATTTATTTTGCGCAGTTACCTTGCTCGCTAGAATGCACAACATCTGAAGCAGAAGAAGACCTTGCCCATGACAAAGATATTCCACCAATGACTGTTCAGTTTCATCTTGACATTTCAGAAGAATAGCAGACTGGAACTCACTTGTCAACACATTGCTAACACTGTAAATATCACTACAGAAGAAACAAACAAGTATTGTTTCGTAAAAGATGCACAATACAGCCATGCGAGCTTAAATAATTAAAATAATTTCAAAATTAAATGCTATATGGATTGAGTAATTTGCCCCAGAGAATTTTTGACAAGAGGACTATAAAATGTTCATCTGGAAAAACCGGATCAAGGATCACTGGATCACCGGATCAAGGATCAGGTAGCAAGGATCAAGGATTGAGGATCAATTTAAAATAAATCAAATAAATTATAATAAATTAATTAATAGGCATGATTGATTGCTCCCCTACATGACTCAATCAAGATCTATTTCAACAATTTTAAATTGTTGTAAAGTAAGAATACTTGTGGGCAGCATGCAGCAACAACTAAAAGTCTTGTACAACTGAGTTAATTAATCGACCGGTTTTGTCTGCTAGTGAGACTTTGTCAGTTGTATTTAAAATGAATGCATAAAGTAAAGGTAAAGAAATGCAACTGACCCAAATACTTAAGGGCATTTTTTGTAGCACAATGGTTTCTTATTGCATGATATACATCTCAGTTTGTAATAATGAGCAGTTCTTATGTATTATCAACATCTTGCATGTGGCATCAGATTAAGTCGCACGAGTGTGTGACAAGCAACTTGATACCATATCACAGCAAGCAAGTACTGTACTGATAGGTTTCCTGGTCATGTCCACATTTGATTCATTGAAATACTCTATCGTGTAAATTTAAGAACATCTTAAGAACGTTTGCGTTGTTTATGCAATGAAAATCCCTGAAAACTATAGTAGTAGTAGAAGTCTTTATTAGGAAATCAGTCACAACATACGTGTGGCTTTACAATCAATAACCAACTAAGCTAAATTAGCAACTAAGCTAAACTATACTGGAATCAAGAATAGACAGTTTCTTATCTAACTTGTGATCAAGCGTTCTCAGGGGTAGCGTAAAATTTGGTGGAAAGGGCAAGGGCAAAAAATGCCTGTCTGTCAACAGCGATGTTATCTTGTGTTATGCCACATGTATATCAATCACTAGAAAATCTTGCAGCTCACAGGAAAACATGATTTACATGTTTACTTATACAAGGATCATCACAGATTTTTTAAGCACAGCTGCTTTTGCGAACCATGCTTAACCATTGGTGCGGTTCCCCTGTTGAAGCTGTTGAGAAACAGAGAATTGGCAAACATCAAAGTCTTTTATTTTATCAGAAGTGATCAAGTGTGGGAATAAACTTTCTGTGTGTTCTTGAGATTTTCGACTTGTTGCTTCCGTGTATACTCCAGGGGACTCACAAATCTCATAACAATGTTACTTTCCGAATCAATTGTCAAATAATGTCTTTGTCAAATCCCGTCGGCAAGACAACTATGTAAAACGTCTTCTTCTGAGCAAGTGATTCTTCAGATGCATTCCATCTGCTTTTCCTTTAAGGATATGAGGTCAGTAAAAATTTGAAGAGATGAACTCAAAGCAGCTGAAAATTTGCTGTTCACTCCAGCAGTTGTCAAAAATGGTTTCGTGTTTTTAAGTCAGATACACAATCACATACCAACATTCAGGATAATTTGGAAATTTTGTGAATTGAACCGTTTGCTACTTCTTCTCCGATATAGCATATGCACAAGTGAACCCGCCCTGTAGCTGTCTTCGATGGCTGTCCTAATAGTTCAGAGCTAGTCCGTAGGCAAAAACTGGCACTTTCAAAAAAGTGGTATGGTTTTTTCAGTATTAATACATTTTATATGCAGACAACCAATATTACATCACTTTGTTTCCAATAATATATTAATATATTATAATATTATGTCAAGGCTAAATAGGCAGGCATCTCTCTAATTACATTGTATTCTTTCTCCACTAGAGAGACATCTGAAGTTCAACCTAATCCATCAAAATTACTCAAGATTACTCCGATCATGGTGCATTAAACGAACTGAAGAATCCTTGCCCAGAGTGGGTTTTTTGTTTCCTTAAATACACAATGATCCAAGAGATTTTAGTTCAATCCGTTTAGAAAAGAAATGTACAAATAATACATATTTGGATTTAAGAATCTAATCTTGGGATGCACCCTAAATAAACAGCACATATACCTCCAGGGTTGTCTAGGAGAACGGCTAAATACAGGAAGTATGTATGTGTAATTGTAATTTATAGAGAGTTTTTATTACACAGATAAGCTATGTAGTCCAGTCGAGGGCCAAGAACTAAAATCAACCAATCATACTGCTCTCATTACCGGTCCAATATTCTGTCAAAATTGGAACAGGCATTCTCCCGAATGATCCCATACAATCACTCTTGAAGATTTTTTGGTACAGGTGTACCTGTAGTTTTATGGCTCATGTCTCTGAATAAATAAATTAAAATATTTAGAGAGAAAAACACATCAGCCTTAGGTGGTTTTTGGGTGGGTCCTCTATCCTGGTCAAATTGGAATTTGGAAATGTTGGTTTTTGTGGGGGGAGAAAAACTGGAGAACCCAGAAAAAAACCCTCGGAGCAAGGCAAGAACCAACAACAAACTCAACCAAGATATGGCACCGGGCTGGAATTGAACCTGGGCCACATTGGTGGAAAACAAGAGATCTCACCACTTCGGAATCCCTGCTCCCCGATGATGTTTGTTTAACATCAGATGTAAGACAGTGTACTCAGATACAAAACTCCTCTCAGGCAGCCAGGGGATAGACTACAAGTAGCTGTATAGTCTAACACAGCTGACAACAATCAGAACTTCACAGATCAATACCTACATTATTCTGTTGCTAAATCATACCTCCCAATAAGAAGTCCAATTATTATTCTTACCCAAAGCTTGAAACCTTGTTCAAATCCCCTTTTGCAGCACGATAGGCGTGTAAAAACGCCACCATAAAAAGCTCCAGGTGTTTGCTTTTCTCCTGAGAGTAAAAACAAACAAAAAGTGGTAGTAGACTTAAGATTCATTGCTGGGATCCAAATGAGATAACGGTCTAAAGTAAAACAGAAACATCTCCACCCCTACCCCCATATCGAATCATATCAACCGAGCACAGCTCTAAGATAATTTAATTAGCAACGCAATTTGCTTTGCTAAAATCAGAAAGACCACAAGAAGTAAGAAAATTGTTTCAAGTAAGAAGCGCTCCCACAGTGCTTTGAAAGCCTTAGGAACAAGCGGAGCGATGGACAATACTATAAAGCTTGATCAACGCATCACGTGCGAGTGAAATCTGGACAGAACACAGTTAAGCCATACCTGTGGTTTTTCAGTCGAACTGCATCTCATATAAGCACTCCAGCGATCTCGGAGTTGTTGCAAAACTCCATCGTCCTGGCTATTGCTTGCCATCATCAAATTGCAGAGCAAAAGAAGTTATTTATAACCTGGTTCGTTGAGGCGTGTGAATGTTGTCGTTTTTGCATCATTCCAGATGACAGCTGAGGCGAAAACGAAGGTCTCTAAACTCCTCGCATGAAACTTCGATTTACGGCATAGTGCCAAAATAAGACACAATTTTGGTCAAGCTCTTGATATTCGTTTCTTTTAGACGGAATTTGCTGAAATCTGAGGTGTTCTGTGTCTCGACAGACGCTAAATCTCAACCAAATCTCTCTCAAAACGAAAATAGCCCAGGCGAAAAGTCTACTAGGAGAAGCCGCTGACAACCTACTTCCGGTTACGCGGGACTACATAAATAATTTGTCTGAAAATAGTCTAAAATGGACCAATTGAATTATTTTTTCCAGTTAAGGACGGTGCCTACTAAATACAGAGGTTTTTGCGCCAGGTTAAGACCACGCGGAAAAAGTAGGTCTTTGCAAGGGCTACTGGAATCCCCGAAGAAAAATTGGGGTAGCCATGCATTTTTTTCGAGACAATTAGCCTTGAATCTCAACAAAAATGCTGACATCAGCATTTTTCTGAAAAAAGAAGGAAAGGATATTCCTTCACACATTTCCTTAGAATTCGCCTTTACAGACAGAAAAGCAAACACGTTTATAAAGATCTTAAAACTACATGATAAATCGTAACATAAAAACCATTTTTGGTCTGTTTTTAATAACAAAATCGTTGTAACGGCGCTTTTAGGGTCTCTGACAGCCTTCCTCTGGTTCAGCCAAAGTACAGTCTAAATACCTTTTGCTCACAACCAGAAACTAATCACGTGTTTAATAGGCTTGCCATTTCCATTTCATAGCATAAAATGTGGGGGGAACCACGCGTTTTTAAAAGTTATTGATCTTTTTTAAAACCTTTTACGGTGCCCGTTAAATATTTTCCTGTCACCTCCCCAGTAAGTATAGCATTTGCGTATCTCGAACTTGTTTTGCGCGCGCACTACGCCATCTGCAGGTACATGTTTATAGTTGGATTAAGGCAGAAGCATTTTTTCTGTTTTTTTTTTTTTTTGAATTGAGTAATAGATTTCTCTGTGTAAAATAAATGTGGACCAATTATCAGTGTAGAGCAAAAAACAATCGTCGGCAACGTGAATTTAGCAAGCAATCGGGACTACAATCATAGTGCTATTATAAGGATTTAATGGGTATAAACAAGGTGCTGTTGCTCCTAAACGAACATGGGGACCCCTCATTTTTATTTCCAAATTTAAGTTCCTACAATATAAACAGTCAATATACAAAGTTTGACAAAAATCTCAGTGCCGGTTCTATTTCAGTGGAATGACCTTAAGTATAATTTTCCGCAGATGACAGTTAGTTTTTCAGCTGGAAGACGTTAACAGTTAGTGGTTAGCGATATGCTGCTATTCTGGTGAACTTGATTTGGTCACAGTGGGAAAATTTTGCTTTCATTTTAGCCGTGTACTTGATAGCCTAATTGATTGCGTCAGTGTCAACCCCAGAGTGCGCCTGGCGCTTAAACCTGTCTTGCGTGCGTGATGCGCAGAACGTGTGCGCATTAACAAAAGTAGGCACCGTCCTTAAATTTTAACAAACTATACCCCATAAGCCTAACCAAGTTTGCAGAAATTACGTACGCAATATATCAGGAACTTTCCAAGAGAAGATTGTACAAAGAATATGTCAGAAGAAAAGTCAACAACGCTTTAGAGGTTAATTTGCTCCGAAGTTTTGTCTTTGCGAGTAGTCCCTCCTTCTCTCTTAGAAAAATAATCTGACTTGAGCTCACGATCCAATTGGAAACTAGTAATTTATCAGCGGTCAACTTCAAAAAAAACACGCAATGAGCTCTAAGCCTGAGCCTGCGATATGGTCACGTAAACTGGTCAGTGGATAGCTTGTTGTGGCAGCTGTCAATTAACAATAGCGTGGATTTCCAAAATCAAAGATGTAGCGGCGGTAATGGTGCTACTCTCTTAGGGCGCTTTCCATTCGACCAAAAATTCCAAAATTTCGAAACGGGGACAAATGGTACGGAAATTTCCTGGGATAAGTTCCAGAAAATCCGGAAATTGTTGAATTTCCGAAAAGCGAACCATTCAACCGAAAATTCCGGAAATTCCGAGATGAAAAACAAATGGAACAGAAATTTCCAGGAAAAAATGTTCGAAAATTTGGCTACAGCTCACGAGGGGCGCTTTTCATTCGACCAAAAATTCCGTTGTGAATTTCCCGAAATTTCCATGGGCGAATGGTACAGACTTTTCCAGTGTGGAAAAAGACAAGCC